AACATAACAGGATTTTCCACTCCATCAAATTCCTGAGAATGAATGGCACCTAACCCTTTCTTCGATGCGTCGGTCTGTAGAAGGAACGGTTTTCCAAAATCCGGCACTTTGAGGATGGGCTCCTGACAGTAGTCCCAAAAATGACTTCACCTGCTTCCTTGTTTTGGGAACTGGCCCATCTCTGTTGTCGAGTTGAGGCTGTATTTGATCCTCACCCACCACATTACCCAGAGATTGTACTGATGCAAACTCAAATCAACTCCTTTTGGGGTTGATATGCAGTCCTGCCTCAGCTGGAGAAGAGAAGACAGTCTAACAATGTTTGAGATGTGAAGCCCCATCTTCACTAAATATTACCAGGTCGTCCAGGTAGGCAGCTGCATACTGAAGGTGAGGCCTCAATAGCCAATCCAAGAGATGCTGAAAGGTAGCCGAAGCCCCATGGAGACCAAAAGGAAGCACCTTACATTGATATAGACCTGAGGGTGTTGAAAACACATTCTTAGGTTTTGTTATGGCAGTAAGAGGTATGTGCCAGTACCACTTAGGGAGATGTAGTGTTGTAATGTACTTACAGTAGCCTTCCCTAATTTCTCCATGAGCTCATCAATCTGGGGCATAGGATACAGTATGCATCAAATCAAGACACTTCATTTAACTTTTTGAAATCATTGCAAAAACACCAGGATTCATTGGGTTTGGGACTCAGATCGATGGGGCTGGATTAGGGGCTATTGCTATCCTCAATCATATACAGCTCCAGCATCTTCTGAACCTCCTTATAGATTTCCTCGCATTTTGCTTCTGGAATGTGGTAGGGCAGAACTCTCACAAGGACCCCAGGTGGCATCTCGATGTCATGGCGGACAAGGTTTTGCTCACCCCAGCAGGTCGGAGAAGAGGTTTTGGTTCCCACACAATAGAGCAGTGGCATCCTCAGTTTGGCCTCGGGAGGGGTGTGGAGAGAGAGTCACAGCGTTACCGGCTGAAGAGTTACAGGCACAGAACATTAAGGAAGGAGCGCCCTTGTCAGTGTTATACTCATGCCACGGTTTTAAGAGGTTTATATGATATATTTTCTCCTTCTTTCTATGGTCAGGGTGACAGATTTAATTCAAGTTGCAGGATCCATCCGTTCCTGATCTTCATAGAGCCCCTGCCATCTGGCATAAACCTTGCACTCTGGAACAGGCAGTGGTAGCATTACAGCTCTGGGCTGATGGGTCCAAAGTTGAGAGGTGTGATTATAATATTTTTGCTGTCTGTCATGTGCCTCTCTGAGATTTTGGTCCACTAGCGGTTTTAACTGACACAACCTCTCCTGGAATTTATTTACAGAATCCAGGATGTTATTGGAAGTCAGATCTTGAGTCTCTCATGATCCTTGGGCAATGTTGAGGATTCCTCTGGGCTGTCTTCCCTAAATTAACTCAAACAGAAAGCAGCCTAAATGGTGTTCCCTGGTCAGTTAGGGTTTCTTTAGGAAGTCTGAATCTAGTGAACAAATTTACAATCTCCCTAGCAATATTTTGCTGGCAGCCCGGGGTATAGCCTCTGGATACCGGGAGGCGTAGTCAACGACGGCTAATATGTATTCATGCCCCCGGGCTGTTTTAGATAGGGGACCTAAGAGATCCATGGCAATATGGACGGAGGGCTCTTCAGTCGCTTCAATCAAAAGGGAGGGCCTGCAATGGTGAGCATAAGTGGGGCTTTGGCAAATTGAGCTGACAGTCAAGGCAATTTTGGCTGACTTCAGCATATATGCCTGGCCAAAAGAACCTTTTTAAGACCCTCTTGTGCATCTTGTCTACCCCAAGATGTCCTCCCAGCAGATGTCGATGAGCCAGCTGGAGTATGAACTGTTGGTGCTTCATGGGAACTAGAAGCCTATCCTGGTTTGGCCTGTTACATTGATATAGGTAGTCGTTCTTGATGATAAAAGAATTTGAATGCTTCTGGCGGCCTTCGACAGGTTACCCATTCAATTCTACTACCTGGGCTCTGGCGTAGGGGAGGGTAGGATCTTCAACTTGGTTTCGGTAGAATTCAGCTGTTAGAATCCCCATTTTCCAGCTGTCGAGGGAGTCTGTGCGGGATAAAGGAGTCTCCAATTTCCTAGATCTAGGAGGGGAAGAGGAGGAAGAGGCTTCAGCATTAGGGCTGGTCGGAGATGCGACCCCTTTCCCACTGCGCATGCACACTTCATGATGACTCCTCAGCTCCCCATGGATATAGCCAACAGTGATGTGTCTGTGTTCCTTGACCTGGTTAGGCTGGATGACTTCAGGGGACACAAGACACAACTCACTCCCGGAGTCCACTAGGGCTAGAAGGTTCCCCCATTCAGGAGTACCGACTCTAATAGACAGGTGAGATCAATTAGAAGACAGCCTCTGAGTTGTTCTTTTAGGGAGGCATGGACGATGTTACGGTCCATTCTCATGTCTTCGGAGAGGCATTGGTCTGCCTCATGTCCCTCCATGGCACATCTTAAAAGGACTGGGAGGACTCTGTGCTTCCCCAGAGACCCATCTCAAAAAAAGGATGGCCATCCGGGGTTTAGAGCTGACTCCATGGCAGCTTTTCACTTCCGGACGATACCTTGAGAGGAGGTAGAGAGCCAGTGCATAATCACTCAAAGTAGGGTTCTCCACTCCCAGGAGCTAGGACGAGTGGTTGCGTTCTGGACAATTATAGAATTTTCTCTGAAGATTTTTTAGAGGAAAAGGGTTTATTTGGTAGCTTTAGAGCCGGTGGCATGGTTCTTGGATGAACACAGAGGAATCACGTAAGAATGTAATATATGGTTTCGTTACACATAAATCATGGTGCTGATATACATTCTCACATGGTAGTTAGGGAGAGAGTACAGTTTAGAGGGCTGCCTTGGTGGTGTTAGGGGTACTCTAGTGGTGAACAGGGGGAAATCCTTTCCACTGTCACAACTCTTAACCCCTTAGTAAAAGTTTAAGACACCAGTGTCAGTCCAGGGTTTCAACACACTCAAGCTAAGCTTATAACGTGATAAACAACATATTTTGTCATCATTTTACACAGTATCACATGCAAGTGTCATTATCAAAGATAATTTTTCTGATGACATAGAATAAAGGAAATGTCCTATATTCAAAGTTTGCATGCTGCAAATTTACCAATTTTGCAGAAAATTGTAATTGTAAAATTTCCTCGCACACCAGGAAAGGTTGAGAAAGCTTTCCACCAAACATTTGGCAACGCTATTTTCATACTTGATGTAGAATAATGCAACGAGGAAAAGAGGTCAAAGTCAAAGCAAACAATGTGCCTGATAAAGCCATAATACTGCTCACCTGCATGTCTGTGCAGCCAAGTTATACAGTATTACTAATGAATGGTCTCAGAAGCAGAGGTATATTTATTGGGTAAACAAAATGGCAGCCTTGTAGTCAGTACAAGATGGCAGTGTTAATGCTGCTCCAAAATACCAAGCAGCAAAAATGAGAAGGACATGAATGTAACCAGTCATAATAGCTGCATCATCCTATGAAAGACATGGAAAGAAAAAAATATATTTCTATGTAACAGCCTGTCACAGAAATAGTTTTGAAATAAAAAAAAACCCAGACAGCATGTTTGGGACTGTGACAGTTGTGTACACCACGTAAACAATGACAGATTGTGAAGAAAAAAAAAATTGCTCTGTGCAGTTTGGGGTCTTTCCTCATGAGTACTATTGTCATAAAATAACAGTCTTAATGATTGAGCATTCAAAAAAAACACAAAAAGAGTATGACCTGCTTGACTTGTAGACTTGGCATCAATCATACACAGGAATAAATGTGAATTCTCATATTGATTTACAGTAATAATCAAATATTTATTTAGAATAATAGCCAAATCACAAATACACAGATATCCTGTCCTTTGCAATTATAGTTCCCTGAGGTCATGAGACAAGAGTGTGCAACAGCCGTTTATCACAGTTTTTAAAAATGAATATTGACATTGATTTGTGCCCACTGAAGAAGAAATCTCACCCCCCCACACCACCCATCAGCGTTGCTGAAGTTGCCAGATAGAAGGGGTCCAAAGGAACAGGTATACGTTTATTCCATGCTGAAAAGAGAGGAGAAGGTGTAAGACCTGAAGGAGGCTCCTCAGTCGAAACATTGTGTCTCCTTTCTTTTCAGCATGAAATAAACCTGACGCAGCTACCGACTTGAACAGATAGAAGGGGTGTTGATATTTTTGCACATGGATCTCCTCAGCTCAGAGAAGGGACTTTTGAGTCACATTATCAGTTATTGTTTTGTGGGAGCAGATTTTAATTGTCATAAGATATGTTTTCACCAAACTTTCTGTTGGTTTTTGATAGGTTTGCAGGATCTGAAATAAAAGCCCACAATTGTCAGGGACATCAACAAACAAGGACAATGGGCTGCTCCTATTGTGGTGTCATAGTCCATTGACAATTGGAGTACAATGTTAATTTTTGTTTTCCTATGTGTAATTTTTATATATGTGTATTTTTAATACTTTCAGTGTTTAAAGATTGTTGAGCAAAAATTAGTAATTCCGCAGTATGACGGGTAAAAAAAAAGCAGAAAACAATTAGCACCACAGTTATGCCTTTGCATCATGAGGGGGTTATAATATTCTAAAGCTATTTATGAACACAAGTGTCATGGCAACTGCTGCCTTGTTTATGACGCTGACAACCAAAGGATATGAAAAGAGGAATTTTGATGGAGAAAATATAAGGCATCTGATTACACTGATTTGACAGTCCTAATGCGTGGAGGAACACCCATACAAGCAGAGGAGGTAAGGCTTGATTAAGCTACAGCCTTGCATTACATTTGGCTTTGAGGAGGCAGCACAGTTTGATATTGAAGGTTAATCATAAGTCAATGCAAAATAACAATATTCAACAAATAGTTTTTGCAAACGCAGAGCACTGTTCAAATAACTTGAAATTTTATTCTCTTGTCGTGTGAGATTTATTTTCCAGGAACTACAGTGTTTCATATCTAAAACTCAACAGCAGTGTCACTGCCGCTGTGGCCATGAGGCAGGGCAGCAGCTGACCTGACAGCTCTGACAAGATTGTTTAGTAGTGTATCAATATAATACCGAATTTGGTAAAATGTAATTTACACTCATAAGCAATTAATCTAGAACTTAACTAAACACTGAGGCATTTTATTTTCTTCCACATTGTGTAAAAACGTTTCTACAGAAATAATTCATACAACAATGACTTAAAGAAGAGAATAATTTCAAGAATCAAAAAAACTTAAAAGCCAAGAATTTGGAAACTGAACATATCAAAGCTACCTGAAGTGATATTTTTTAAGTCATACAGTATACATTACATCTCTTATCTTTTAGCACTTGTAGACACTTAAGAATCTGCCAAATAAAGGGACTGTATTCAATATACAGTATGTGCAGATAGGGTTACATGTATATTTTATGCACTATACTGTATGTCAGCAATCAAAAGCAAAAAATTTTTTTGCCCAAGCAAAGATTACTATACTATAAGAATCCTAGTTTCCTCATTAAAAAGGGGGACCTGTAAGCTGTATTTAAAATAATTCCTGAAATGTATTTAGAATGTTTTTACAGATTCTTTTGATTTGACTCTTTTCAGTATTTTGCCAAAAGCAAATCGTTTATACGCAACAAAAGTGAAGATTATATTGCAGAAATAATTGGTTCCAAATATATAATTTATAGTGACAACATTTCCAGTGTTATTTGACAAACAAAACTAAAAGGTTAATCTAAATCTATATCATAATTAACAAGGTTAGGATATTTTATTTTAGGCATTACCTCACTGACTCAATCTCTCCATATACTCTTATCCATAATACTTTCCAAATACAAGATATATTTTCAATTTTAGAAATAAAGTTTCAGGATCATTTTCTTGTCATATTCCTTTAGTTCCAAATATGCTGCAGTATTCTACAAACGCCTCCAAAAGATGTATAATGCAGATTAAAGTGAGACAGTGATTTAGATTATTTGTAGCCAGACAATACTGGGATATATAGAAGAACAGATCAGAACTTTATACTGACATGAGCATATTTGCAATTCTTTCTCGAAATTATGTCCCTCTGTTTTCTAATGTCTAAGATCTGCTGAAAAGAGTATGAACAGTTTACACTTCCTGTATTTTCACGCTCAATGACCTGCTGCTAAAAAGGGAACTGTGGTTAACATTCTGCGAAAAAGACTAAGCCTGCATACAGTACATGAATGTATATGTTGTCTCTTCTGTTTTTGCTATCAGGTCCATAACAGAAACAATGGAAGATGTATCATTGAACAGCCAGTGGCTCCTGAAAATGGAAGGCTTCAATGTTACTAACCAATCCATGTACCCTCTTTTCCTTCTTCTATTATTCAATTATCTTCTCATCCTTATTTTCAATACTGGGGTCTTACTGCTCATCACCACTGAGAGAAGTTTGCACCAGCCTATGTATCTCTTGGTATGTAACTTGCCTGTGAATGATCTGATCGGAACCACCGCCCTGATGCCCAGGCTCATGTTGGACATACTGTCATCTAAAAGATACATTTCTTACATTGAATGTGTTGTTCAAGCTTTTTGCAGTCATACTTTTGGATCTGCTTCACACATGATACTAATAGTTATGGCTCTCGACAGGTATGTGGCTATATGCCATCCCTTGAGGTACAATTCTATTATGACCACTAGTACAGTGGCAAAGTTATCTGC